TCCTAAAAATGTCTTGAATCTATTTGACAGTGATTTGTTTGTTTGACTCAATGTCTCAGTGACATTGAGTCAAACAAACAAAGGGCAGACTTTCAACAAGAAGAGAAACACAAAACTGAAGGATTTACAGGGAGACGTTGGACAGTTATTTCATGTTTACGGCTTGGATCCAAAAAGACGTCGGTTTTGGGAGGCTGCAACCTCGTGGCGTTAGCTCCTTCAGGGCGACTCTGACAGAGACCGGACCGGACAAGCCGCTGACAACCAAACTCCATTATCACTGTGACTCCTTCAACCACAGTCTCAGAACACGCCGAAAAACAGTCACAACGATAAATCACAAATGACGTCAAACGGTTCTGCAGGTCCATAACTGCAGCTGAGAAATGTACAGTCCAGAACTTCAATTCAATTCAATGTATTCAATGTGTATAACCCTAACCCTAACTCACAGCAGTAGAGTTGATTTTGCCAACACAGATCAGAGAATCAAACAGTTAAAACAAAGGAGATGCAATGATAGAAAACACATTGGTATTGGTCCATAGGGGGCAGATGACCAGTGCCTGCAAATGCTGTTGAATGTCCATTGATTAGGCCACGTGCCGAAAGCCAAAAGAAGCCTAGAAAGAGACTTCGGTTCTGGGTAATTCTTTCCGGTGGTATCATCTATTAGTAGATGTTGAGTGTCCTGGATCATGACCACTGTCCTAATGTTAGACCTTCCTGTATCGGCAAAGAACAACTCTGAAACCCAGTGGGAAAGGGGGAAAAACCTTGGGGCGGCCCACAAATGGACGGGCTGTAGATCCAGAATCCAAGACATTTTTGGGCAGGACAAAAAACTCAACCAAAATCATAACAAATGCCTCAAAGTTTACCCAAAGTCAGAGCCGCACCACAGTGACATGACAGAGACGGTGGACACACAACCTCATTGACACCAAGTTAAAATCAGCCACAAATACTGGGAGCCCCAAAACAGATTCAGAGGTCCTCCAATCACACGCCAAGGCCACAGAGACAGAGGACACACACACACGCACACACACACACACACTTGATGACCTGAAAACTCCAAAGGAAAACAATTACTAACAAATATTTTCCTGCAAAACACATGCATACAAATCTATACACGCACAGAAACCGTCGGTAATGCAGGTGTTAATTTGATAGTTGAGAGGTATTATCTTGTATTGCTATTGCACCCAATATACCTGAGTCTACTTTAACCTTTTAATTTTGTGTTGTAAATATCACTGTTAATACTGTTGTTGCCCACTGTCACTTGCCCAACTTTCAATACATGGTGCTAGCAAAATGTGTGTACCGTTTCCGCCTCCTCTCTCCCAGAGTCGATCCTAGTCTCCTGATCCTAGCCTAAACAACTACTTTCCTAGTTAGCTGTAGGGTGATTAAGAACCAACGAACACTTGCTATACAACTAGCTACACATCTTAACTAGCTTCTGGTAACGTATACGCTACAAGTCGCAACGTCATCCGAAATAATCAAGCTGTATAAATGTCTTGTTCTTCATGGTAGATTGTTTTATCGGTGGAGTTTTTTATGCTGAGTCCTAAAATTCTTGGCCAAACAACAAAAGATGAGTCCGTTCCTTTTAAGAAGTCATATCTCATTTTTTTCTCCATTTGCAAAGACGGGAAAACTCCTTATAGAGCGGTTTTCATGCCCCTTCCTCACTGATGTATAAAGTCTCTCTTAATGGCTGTCGTACATTATAAAACCCCATTGCTTTTTTGTTTTTAAATGAATTACAGGTCTCTTTGTGTGGATCCAGGGGGCGCAGTGCCAGCCCAGTGTCAGGGCCCCCTGCGCTGGCCCCGTTAGTTCTGAGCCATAGATCTGCTTTAGCCTCACTGGGGGTAAAAACTGAAGCAGTGACTTTGAACAGCGGTGTGTTGAAGCTAAGAGAGTTAATGTATTCAGCCAAGTGTGCGGTGAGTGGCAGCCAAGATGGAGAGGACCTGTGCCAATGTCAAAGTGTGTAACGACCTCAATCTGCAGAAAGCACACCAGAAAATGCCAGTCACAAAACAAACAAACACAGAGAGCTGAGAGAGAACGCAAGGGTCTGGAGGAAGTTACTCCAATCGTCAACGTTTCTCCAGCTACTAAACTACTTTTGTTGTGAAATTATCGCAACAAAGAAATCTGTTTTGGCATTTCCCATTGCTGCAGCTGCATTGACAAACTGAGAACGAGGCCAGACATGGTGCGGGTCTGTCGGGTAGAGGCCCCTCCCTCCGACGGGTCCATACAGTCAGCTTACTGCACTCCACTGAAAAGGTTCCAGACTCAAAGCACCACACGTCATAGTATTATCCATCCATCCATCTTCTTCCCCTTAATCCATTTCTGGGTCGGGGGGGTGGCCAGAGATGCCACCCAGGACACAGAGCACCAGCCCCTCACTGAACCTCCTGCAGGTGCTGAGTCCATAGGAGCAAAAGGTTAGTATTATTTAAAAACAAAACATTTATAATTATGATTGCGACAAAATATGGTCATAAATTGATAACTAATGCTGTTTTGGGTTTTTTGCATCAACAAGAGGATGATGATGATGGTAAAAATCAGAAATGTGAAAATTTGAATCTTTTTGCAGTCGCTTAAACTGAGTATTGATAATGGGGATAGCGCCTATACATTTTTTGCTTCTGCCTTCTCCTTTTGATCACAAGACTAAAACAACTGTTCAGATCAAGGTACATGAAACAGATTTCTTTTTAAAAAGGGCCTTAAATTGGTACTTACCGTTGGCATGACAACCACACATGGCTCTCTACATTACAGCATTTCTTCCATTGTTTGTTCTTACTTTGAACAGTTTAAATGTCTGCTTTCATTATGATGCTCTTCCAAACTAAAATGTACCTCTTTGGAAGTGTACTTGTAATTATATTTCTGGTTGAATTCATTAATAAAGCAGTGAACGAGAGGGGAGAAACATTTGTTTTTTAAAGTACCTGGCCCTGTGTGGACATTTCCTTTATCACTGAGTTAAACTGGGAAAAGAAAAGGAAGCATTAACTTTATGCTCGTTCTGGATAATTGTTGAGCAAGAATATACATTTTTGGGCGACAGTGGCTCAGTTGTTAGAGCAATGGCCTTTGAACCCGAAGGTTGTGGGTTCGAGTCCACCAAAATACTTTCTCCACCAACTCTCTCTGCTGTTGTTGTGTCCTCTGCAAGACACTTAGCCTCCAACTGAATGAATAATGACATATAAAGTGTGTTTTGCGTGTCCAAATAATGCATTATTATTATGAAATCACAGAGATACGGCTGCGTTTTGCTCTTTAAAGCTCTCAGTGTGATTTTGCCGAAATAACTTTGATGTTATAATTTAAAAGAAGGATGTCTCTTTAATAACCCAACATCAAAGTTATTCCAAAGTCAGAATAGATATTTACTCATCCCCAAAAGCATGTCCTCTCTCTCCTCTGCACATAGACACCGCAGACGAAACCTAGTAATTGATCCCTGCGGGCCTAAGCCAAATCCCAAACACGTCGGCCATCTTTGCCGCGGCCTCTTTCCCATTAACCGCAATGTTCCCGATAAGTACGCTACAACTTCTGCTGTCAGCTCCCCTCCTCCCCAAAGGTCAGTGACGACGGTATTATCTGGCAACCCTGCTCCATTTACCGCTATCAAACAAAAGGTACAGCTGCAGCGACGGGAAGCAAACAACAAACAAGGCTAATAAGTGCTGTCTCTGCCGCTAAACCACTAACACAGAAGCTAATGCCGATAACACGGACAAGCCTGAGCACTTGTAATGTGCACAAGGCAAACAACAGCCGGCTAAAGGCTACATTTACAATTTAAATACTGCACCGATGAGAGAGGTATCGACACAAGCAGGCGGGAGGGAAAGGAGATGTGGAGAAAAGGTGGTATTTGATTAGCATTCATAGATTTGAAGAAGATTCTGAGCTTGTCAAAAGTTGCGGTGTTTTGGCAGGATTTAAAGGTGAACCCAGGAGAAAGCATGTCATTTGGAAAACCACAGCGTCTGCAAGAAGTATATTTATATTTGATGTTTTGGATGTTTTTTCCCCTTCCCTGCAAAAGAAAGTTACCGCCTTAAATCTGTGGAGTGTAAATGTGGATATAGTTTAATTAGCTATTAAATTGATTAGATATTAATTAGATATTTTTGGATAGGTCATTTACATAAACAGACATCTCTGTTTGGTAGAGCAGTAGCCTTTGAGCCTGAAGGTTGTGGGTTCGAGACCACAACAAGAATGTATCCACTGACTCCCTCTGATGTCTGCTGTCGTTGTGTCCTTAGGCAAGACACTTAAACCACATTAGAATGAGTCTGGTGTGTGTGTGAATGGTTGGTGGTGGTGGGAGGGGCCAGAAGCACAGACTGGTTGCCTCGCTTCTGTCAGTGTGCCCCAGGGCAGCTGTGGCTACAGTAGTAGTTTATCACCACCGTGTTTGGAGAGAGAGACATGTGAGGCGTCTGTGAGAACCCGGAAAAGCGCTGTATAAAATGTACGCATTATACATTTGTTCAACCTGTTTTATTTATGGCAGTACATTGAATTTTCTCAAGAAAGGGTCAAACTGTATTTTTCTGGCACTAAAATAGACACGGCTTTTCACTAAACAACTTGATAAAGAGCATATTGTAAGTCTTTCAAAAAATTTTCAGTATTTTTCCCAATCAGTTTTTACAAATGAACTATTCAAATACAGTATATATATATTTATTATTTATTTATGTATTAACATTTTTAGAAATAGTCACATGTTTTATGTCTCCCACTTTGCGAGTAAGAAAGAAGGAGGTCAAAAATCTCTATGGTTTGCATTACAAAAAAGCATGTATCAAATCTCCAACATAAAATACAACTTTATATTGTTGAGCATTCTTGTAGCAAAGACGTAGACCTTTAGCCCCCTCTCTTACCCGTGGAATAAGGCTGACACATGCTGGAGGAAGCAAATGGAGCTATCACGGGAGCAGCTGAAGACACGGACATTCATGTAGAGTGTGTCGGAGCCTGTCCATGGGAACGCACACCTCCTGCTCCATCTGTGTTCCGCCGAAGGGGCTGATGGCACCGCGTCCGCCCAGGAGACGAGCACCAAGCTGGGCACGAGATGAAACCGTCGCTGCTGAAGCCCCTGGAGCCGGTCTGTGTCGGCGGATGATCCAGGAGCTGCACATAAGCCTCATAATCTGAGCAGAGGATTTAAAAGAGAAATGTCTGTACTGTGTCTTTAAGGACAGAAGGAGAACTGTGGGAAGAGAGGAGAGGATGTGGTTCCAGGTGTCAGTGGTAGAAGTTTTAAGTCACTTATTGTTATTCTACTGAGAACAGGGGTGTCTCTTTAGTAATAGGGTCACTGCAGCCGACCTGACCTGAGCTTTAAAATGAGAAATGATAAGTCCAAATAGATTCATATATTCTTTTCAAGCTTCCATAAGTGTTATCTTTCAGTATTATTTCAGCTTTTGTTATATTTTGTAAATGTAGCTAAGTTGCTTGTGATTCATTTGTACTAATTATTTCTATCCTCAAGTGGAGGAGTTCAAGTATCTCGGGATCTTGTTCACGAGTGAGGGAAGGATGGAGCGTGAGATTGACAGGCGGATCGGTGCAGCGTGCGCAGTGATGCGGTCGCTGTATCGGACCGTTGTGGTAAAGAGGGAGCAGCGTCTGCAGTCAGAGCTGTATCGGACCGTTGTGGTGAAGAGGGAGCAGCGTCTGCAGTCAGAGCTGTATCGGACCGTTGTGGTAAAGAGGGAGCTGGAGGAGGTGTGTGTGGATAGGGAAGTCTGGGCGTCTCTGCTTAGACTGCTGCCCCCGCGACCCGGCAACGGATGAAGCGGAAGAAAACGGATGGATGGATGGATAATTATTTCTATGCCCACTTACTTGCACGAAACAACTTTTACAGGTTTGACACTAAATAGATCCAGGATTGTCTAACATACTCCTTCTAATGCTTTGTAAACGTACACAAAAAGACCCCAAGCCGTCACCTGTCGTTCATCTGTTATTTTAGCGACTGTAAAAAGATTATGAGAAGCCTCTGCTCTATTTCAAAGCCTTTTATGGCTCTTGGTGTTAAAAGAGCACATCTCCTGTCACAACCTCTTCGTCATTGATACATCTCCTGTGTTAATCAGTGCGGGGGCCTGCGACTCCAGGCAATAGACTCATCCCCGTCACTTTGAACAGGCGGCCAAAGCGGCTCCCGACACGCCTCCTCCTCGCAGAGAAAGGTTTAACAATCCAGGTCAGGGCTGCACTTTGATCTGACGACTCCTGCCCCAACGCTATCCACACGTTAGAATTCTGTTAGACTCGGAGACAAGACTTGAGACGTGTGAATCCGAACGGAGGCTTCATTAGCGGTGGTTGATGAGAGCATGGGGTGTTCAAAGTCACAGCGAACCTACAAAAGTAGAAGTCCTTGTTATAACAAGTTTTAAACACGGCTGGAGCTCTGGTGTTAGACTGGCATCCATTTGGGAAGTTTGCGTGGAGTAGCTTCTGTAAAAATGTGTCTCCTGAAAAAGGGGAATTTACCGGGAGATCATTTGATGGACGAGTGCAATTTTGTAGTTTCTACAAAAGGTGTCGAACGTGAATAAAACCTCACGAGGGTGAATAAAACCTCACGAGGGTGAATAAAACCTCACGAGGGTGAATAAAACCTCACGAGGGTGAATAATTAGATTCTGAAAACGTGTGAGAAATACATTGTGACGGCTTCAAACCATTTTAACATCCAGGAAGTTACACAGCTGATTGTGGGATAAAGGAACGGCTTTGAACTCTCTCTATAGTACATCATATAGTACTCGCTCTATAGTACTCTCTCTATAGTACTCTCTCTATAGTACTCTCTCTATAGTACATCATATAGTACTCTCTCTATAGTACTCTCTCTATAGTACTCTCTCTATAGTACATCATATAGTACTCTCTCTATAGTACTCTCTCTATAGTACATCATATAGTACTCTCTCTATAGTACATCATATAGTACTCTCTCTATAGTACTCTCTCTATAGTACTCTCTCTATAGTACATCATATAGTACTCTCTCTATAGTACTCTCTCTATAGTACATCATATAGTACTCTCTCTATAGTACTCTCTCTATAGTACATCATATAGTACTCTCTCTATAGTACATCATATAGTACTCTCTCTATAGTACTCTCTCTATAGTACATCATATAGTACTCTCTCTATAGTACATCATATAGTACCCTCTCTATAGTACATCATATAGTACTCTCTCTATAGTACTCTCTCTATAGTACATCATATAGTACTCTCTCTATAGTACTCTCTCTATAGTACATCATATAGTACTCTCTCTATAGTACATCATATAGTATTCTCTCTATAGTACATCATATAGTACTCTCTCTATAGTACATCATATAGTACTCTCTCTATAGTACTCTCTCTATAGTACATCATATAGTACTCTCTCTATAGTATTCTCTCTATAGTACATCATATAGTACTCTCTCTATAGTATTCTCTCTATAGTACATCATATAGTACTCTCTCTATAGTACATCATGTAGTACTCTCTATAGTATTCTCTCTATAGTACATCATATAGTACTCTCTCTATAGTACTCTCTCTATAGTACATCATATAGTACTCTCTCTATAGTACTCTCTCTATAGTACATCATATAGTACATCATATAGTACTCTCTCTATAGTACATCATGTAGTACTCTCTCTATAGTACTCTCTCTATAGTACATCATATAGTACATCATATAGTACTCTCTCTATAGTACATCATGTAGTACTCTCTCTATAGTACTCTCTCTATAGTACATCATATAGTACTCTCTCTATAGTACTCTCTCTATAGTACCTAATATAGTACTCTCTCTATAGTACTCTCTCTATAGTACATCATATAGTACTCTCTCTATAGTACTCTCTCTATAGTACATCATATAGTACTCTCTCTATAGTACATCATATAGTACTCTCTCTATAGTACATCATGTAGTACTCTCTCTATAGTACTCTCTCTATAGTACTCTCTATAGTACATCATATAGTACTCTCTTTATAGTACTCTCTCTATAGTACATCATATAGTACTCTCTCTATAGTACATCATGTAGTACTCTCTCTATAGTACTCTCTCTATAGTACATCATATAGTACTCTCTCTATAGTACTCTATCTATAGTACTCTCTGTAGTACATCATATAGTACTCTCTCTATAGTACTCTCTATAGTACATCATATAGTATTCTCTCTATAGTACTCTCTCTATAGTATTCTCTCTATAGTACATCATATAGTACTCTCTCTATAGTACATCATATAGTACTCTCTCTATAGTACTCTCTATAGTACATCATATAGTATTCTTTCTATAGTACTCTCTCTATAGTACATCATATAGTACTCTCTCTATAGTACTCTCTATAGTACATCATATAGTACTCTTTCTATAGTACTCTCTCTATAGTACATCATATAGTACTCTCTCTATAGTACATCATATAGTATTCTCTCTATAGTACTCTCTCTATAGTACTCTCTATAGTACATCATATAGTACTCTCTCTATCGTACATCATATTGTACTCTCTCTTCCTCCCTGATTTTTGTATTTTGACAAATACATTTTTATTTTACTTGAGGATTGACATTATTTTCCAGTGGGTTTGGATTCAGTCACAACTGGGCCAAATATATATATATTTTTGTTAAATCTATTGAATATTCATAGTTAATTATATATAAAAAACAGCTTTGGCCTTAACTTTTAATTACAAGTTGGTTAACATTTAAGAACAAATGTAGTTAACTGTAAAACTGATAATTTAGAATTATTTCAGGGGCCACTGAAAATGGTCTCTGCGGGTCCAGAAGCTTATAACAATAAGACAAACGTGAAGATAGTTCTTAATTACCACATGATGCATCAGACTGACCACGCCCCCTCAGACTGACCACACCCCATCATACTGACCACGCCCCCTCAGACTGACCACACCCCATCATACTGACCACGCCCCCTCAGACTGACCACACCCCATCATACTGACCACACCCCCTCAGACTGACCACACCCCATCATACTGACCACGCCCCCTCAGCCTGACCACGCCCCCTCAGACTGACCACACCCCATCATACTGACCACGCCCCCTCAGACTGACCACCCCCCATCAGACTGACCACGCCCCCTCAGACTGACCACACCCCATCATACTGACCACGCCCCCTCAGACTGACCACACCCCCTCAGACTGACCACACCCCCTCAGACTGACCACACCCCCTCAGACTGACCACACCCCCTCAGGCTGACCACGCCCCCTCAGACTGACCACACCCCCTCAGACTGACCACGCCCCCTCAGACTGACCACACCCCCTCAGACTGACCACACCCCCTCAGACTGACCACACCCCCTCAGACTGACCACACCCCCTCAGGCTGACCACGCCCCCTCAGACTGACCACACCCCCTCAGACTGACCACGCCCCCTCAGACTGACCACACCCCATCAGACTGACCACGCCCCCTCAGACTGACCACACCCCATCATACTGACCACGCCCCCTCAGACTGACCACGCTCCCTCAGACTGACCACACCCCCTCAGACTGACCACGCCCCCTCAGACTGACCACGTCCTCGCTGCTGTGGCCTCTGGAGAAGTGAGTCCCAAGTGTGCGCCAAGGTGTAAGCCCCCTCGTCTCTGTTGATGGTCCCTGCTTCCTCATTTCCATCGCCTCTCAAATCCATCTTTTGTACTTATGTTCTTCCGTTCCAATTATTTTTGCATTTGTCCCACTTCATTGTGTGATTTTCTCTTTTGTAATGGTCAGATATTGCAGATTTTAGAAGTTTTTCCTTAGTTGATCTTGATTGTCGTGCTGCAATTATTATTTTTTTGCCTTTCTCTCTTTAATACCAATCAGCTTCTTCACACTTTTGTCTTAGAACCTCCCAAGCCTTAAACATAAGGAGACACAATGGACTTTAATTAATTGATGATGGAATGGTTTTCTGAGAGAGACACAAAGAAAAGTTAACCTTAACATGTGTGGAAGTTTTGCAGGAAGCTGATGTATTATCCAGTGTTGCATTGTGGGTGGTCACACGGCAAACTGTTTGTTGTACAAGAACAATACTCGACTGCTTCAAGATGGGTTTTTTTTCAT